TTTTTTTTTATAAATATATTATTTTATTTATTTTAAGTTTTTTAAAATATTTTATTCAATATTTAATTTTTTTCTTATAAATTCATAATAATGTCTTTTATATTAAATAAATGAATATATCAAAACGAAAGAGAGTTAAGTAGATATAACATCTTTTAGCTTTCCAAAATTTCGAGAATACAAGCTGTGATAATTTGATATACTCGAATTTCTTGATTGATTAATTTCTATAATCCTGTTATAATAAAAAATAATGATTAAAAGTATTCAAATTGATTGACTTGAGTGTTGTCAATTTTACAACTTAGAATGCATTAATTGTGATAGTTCATAAATTCTAAGATTTAATAAACATAAAACTAGAAAATTTCAACACAAATATTTTATACTAAAGAACTATGTGACTTTGATTTTTCATTACACATGAAGTGAAAATAAATCATTCATGTCGAGCCAAAAAAATAAAAAAGTAAAAAAAATTCACAACAATAATAATAATTTTCATTTTCATTTAAATAAAACAAATTCACTTGTTAAATAAAATATATTTGATTGTCATAGTTAATCTTATTAATAGGGTGAAATATTATGAATAATTTGTTTAATTAATTAGAGGTAATTGTCTTTATGATAGAAGTTATAGAGTGATAATACTTTTTCTACACGCAATCGACTCTGGAACTCAAAATCTAATTATGTAGACTGTAATGACCCATTATGATCTCTAGCTACATTATGTGAAATCACTACTAGCCCACAAACTAGTTTATTAGAATTATAAAAGATTAACTATCAGATATATGAACATACTATATAATAGGAATATGAAAGTGCAATCATTATACGTATAAAAATCATATACATGTATGTAAAATAATCCCTAGATAAACTATATAGCCTAGTGTCGGTCAAGCACACCTATACAAGCTATATAACATAGCATCGACTCCAACAAAAGTCCCTCCACTCACCAACAATCGCTCCTCTAGCCTAGTCTTGATCTGCTCTCATATAACGTATAATCATTGCAATCCAAACCACATGTAAACAAAAGGGTAATTTAGAGTTCGAAAACATGTAAGCATGGAAAACAATTATATACCATTCAACATCATAGCAAAATATACATGAAAGTCAAACACTCCAAGGCAAACATGTATTTCATTCACACCAAATCAACTAAGACATCTATTAATGCATATGAACACATCACATCATATATCATATGCAAACACCTCAATTAATGCGTCATCACGCATTCACCCACAGAGATTTCCTAACAAAGTGATTAGTTTAAGTGATTTCATCTTACCGAACCAGTCTAATCGTTTTCGCATCCAAAATGTCGACTCGATCACAACAAAATGGGGTACTGATCTCTTATCTCGATTCTCAAATATTGTCACTTACACTAAGAAAGTTTGATTTCACTATTAGGAATAATACATCTGGGTATAGACTTATCATGACTTTGGCATGCATTACCAAGTTATGTATGAAGTTCGCCCACTGATTATCCTCAAGGAACCATGCAACTTTTCCAGGTACTTGATTAAGGGTTGTAGTCCTTAACCTCCTACCTTACTCAACCATTAACTAAGGACCTAGAGGAAACTCAACACATCTCAAAATTCACTCTAAGAGACATACTTAATCAAAGAGGGTTTTCCAACAATAGCCTATCCAAGCACCACTTCAAGATTTCCTATGTGAGATCTTCGGTTTTTAAAACATTTTCCTCTCCTTAAGTCCTAAGTTAGCCAACATGTCTTAATGTCATATTGTATTTTTAGCATCCACACCTTATGCATACATCATCTACATACATCACATCTAATCAATACATATAGAGATCAACAACATCATACAAACATATAACATACATATGCTCACCATCATCCAATCATTTATATATGTCATATCCAATCAACATCATAAAACTACAACTTTCATAATTTACACAACATGCAATAGAGCCCATACATCTATTCATGTTTACCATACAACCTTTCAAAACACAACCATCATTAAGGCATCCCACACCCGGCGCCATCGAGGCAAGGAACTCTCTGCCTCGCTCAAGCTTGACGCCATCCAAATCACATCTAGTGTGACCGAGGTGGAGATCCCTTGGGACCCCACGTTTGACGTGACCAAATCCATGCTCGACCTCATATCAGATAGAAAGTCTCTACCTGACTCTTGCTCGAAGTCACCTCAATGACGCCCAACGTCCTTTAAGTAGGGAGTCTCTATCTTGATCATGCTTAGCGCCATCCAATTAAGGTCCAACATCACCAAGTCAAAGACTTTTTCACTCTATCACGCCTGACTCCATTCAAACTACGTTTAGCGTCATCCCAACCCGAGACAAGTCTCTTTCCTCAGTACCTAGGGTGATTGATCCAACGTCCAATGTGAATAAGACAAAGACCTTTGGTTGGAACTATATCTGACGCCATGAAGGCGCACCCAACGTCATATCAGAAATCTGTTATTGCAGACTTCAAAATTTGCCTCAATCCACATGAAAAACAACCCAACCAAACATGCAATAAATCCAAATTCACATACTAACCATATACAATTTGAAATCTTCAGGAAACAACACAAGTAAGTCATTTTGCACCATTCACCAAAATCACCCCCCATGAGCTTAAAACACCAAGAA